TAGAAATGGGGTCTCACTATATTGCCGACACGTGTCTTGAACTCCTGGGCTCAGGAGATCCTCCCACCTCAGCCTCCCAAAGTGCTGGGATTACAGTTATAAACCCATACCCAGTCGAATTTCCTTTAATGAAGGACTGTTGGTGGTAAATTCTCTAAGTTGTATATCTAAAATTGTTTTTACAAGGTGGGAGGATTGCTTGAACCTAAGACTAGCCTGGGCAACAAAGTGAGACCCCATCTCTTCCAAAAAAAAAAAAAAAAAAAAAAAAACAGCTGGGCAGGCAGGGGTGGGAGAACTGCTATGATCATGCCACAAATTCCAGCCTGGGCAACAGAACAGAGTGAGACCCTGTCTATAAATAAATAAATAAATACTTTGACTTCACCTCATTTTGTAAGATAACTGTGCTGAGAATAGAATTCTAGAATATCAATTTTCTCTCCTCTCTGAGCACATTAAAATAATATATTACTGTATTTGGGCATCACTGTGGATACCGACAAATCAGCTATCAGTCTGATTTCTTTTCCCATGAAATGAATTGCCTTTTCTTTCTGACTGCTTTTACAATTTTTTCTTTTTCTTGAGTGTTCTATTTTAGAGCCATAGGTCTAGATGAGTATTTCTGTTTATTATTTAATCTGCATTGAATTTTTGGGCTTCCTGGATTGGCATATTCCAGTGTTTTGCAACCTACTGGAAAAACATCAGCTATTATTTCTTCAAATACTGCTTCTTTCCAGTTGTAGCTCTTATCTCCTCTATCCTCTATGCCACTTAACTTTTGTTTTATGTTTTCTATGTCTTTGACTCAATGAACTGCACTCTGATTTTTTTCTTTCTTTTTTTACTCCCAATATTACATTAGTAATGCACTCTGGATAATTTATTCAGATCTACTTTCTAGTTCATTAACTCTCATGTCAGTTGTGTCTAATCAATTTAACTCACTCATTGCATTTTTATTTTTATTTATTTTTGAGACAGAGTCTCGCTCTGTTGCCCAGGCCGGAGCGCAGTGGCACCATCTCGGCTCACTGCATTCAACCTCTGCCTCCCAGGTTCAAGCGATTCTCCTGCCTCAGTCTCCTGAGTAGCTGGGATTACAGGTGCATGCCACCATGCCCAGCTAATTTTTGTATTTTTAGTAGAGACAGGGTTTCACCATGTTGGTCAGGCTGGTCTCGAACTCCGGAACTCATGATCCACCTGCCTTGGTCTTCCAAAGTAGTGGGATTACAGGCATGAGTCACCACGCCCAGCCTTCCTTGTATGTTTATAATATTTTTGTCTTTGAGTTCTTATTTCTGGGAACTTTACCTATGGAAATTCTTTGAGGCTTGGATTAGAGTTGAGTTCCTAGATGTATGTTTTCCTCTGGCAGTCATCTGGGGATGCCATCAACCAGGTTGCACTTCAAAATACATTACCTACTTTAGATGTTCTGATCCATACAGGTAGCATTAATAATTCAGGCTTCAAACCCACATTAGAGGCCAGGTGCGGTAGCTCATGCCTATAATCCCAACACTTTGGAAGCTGAGGTGGGAGGGTCACCCGAGGTCAGGAGTTCAAGAACAGCCTGGCCAACATGGTGAAACGCTGTCTCTAATAAAAATACAAAAAAATTAGCCGGGTATAATGGTGCATGCCTGGTGGGCACCTGTAATCCCAGCTACTTGGGAGGCTGAGGCAGGAGAATCGTTTGAGCCTGGGAGGCGGAGGTTGCAGTGAGCTGAGATCAAGCACAGCACTCCAGCGTGGGGATGGAGTGAGTGAGACTCCATCTCAAAAAAACAAAAACAGGCCAGGCTCAGTGGCTCACGACTGTAATCCCAGCATTTTGAGAGGCCGAGGCAGGCAGATCACGAGGTCAAGAGATTGAGACCAGCCTGGCCAACATGGTGAAATGCTGTCTCTACTAAAAATACAAAACTTAGCTGGGCATGGTGGCACGTGCCTGTAGTCCCAGCTACTCAGGAGGCTGAGGCAGGAGAATTGCTTGAACCCAGGAGGTGGAGGTTGCAGTGAGCTAAGATTGTGCCACTGCACTCCAGCCTGGCAATGGAGAGAGACTCTGTTCCCTCCTCCCCCTACTCCCCCCCCAAAAAAAGAAGAAGAGAAGAAAAAGCCCACATTAGATCAACCTTGTTACAAATTGTCAGGGAAATTTTTTTCCCCCGTCTACCCAGCACCAAAGTCAAGAAAGGCAAAATTCTTTGCTGCCCTTCTTCATGGCAAATTTACTTTGTGTTCATGTTCAGGGTGTAGTTGTTTGGAATCTCAGCTTTACCTAAGGAATCTCCTGTTAGTGTCTTCGTATCAGGTGGGCCCAGGCATCATCTCTGGTCTCCTTTACTCCACAAGCATTCTGACAGATAGCTCAAGTTCACCTAGTTTGGTTTGGCAGATACTCGTAGGGCAAAAACTGATGTCAAAGCTCACTTTCCCCAGATTACTGTTTTCACTGCACGTTTGTACTGTTGAAAATTTCCTGCCAACCCAGTGCTTTTGAAAAGATACTTTCTATTTTTATCCAGCTTTGTGGTTACTTTCATTGGGACGTTTACTATTACATTCCCAGAAGTGGAAGGCTGGATGTTTTTCTAGTCCACCCCTTTTCTGGGCTGTGTCCCTTTGAGGGTTTCATGCTGATATAGAGATCTCAGTTCCAATTGCCTACCTTGAATGGGTCCAGGACCTTGTTTTCTCTCCCTGGCACAATGACCAAAATTCTAGGATTTATCTTGCCAGCTAATGTTGGTGAACACCGTTAGGACAACTGTGGCTTCAGCATCTTTTTGGCCACTGGGGGTTATAGACACCAACAAATTATGTATACTCACTTTATCTGTTGGGGCCAGTTGTATGCATAGGAAAATGAAGACAGGACTGTGCGCAGTGGCTCATGCCTGTAATCCCAGCACTTTGGGAGGCTGAGGTGGGCAGATCACTTGAGGGTCAGGAGTTCGAGACCAACCTGGCCAACATGATGAAACCCTATCTCTACTAAAAATACAAAAACTAGCTGAGTGTGGTGGTGGCTGCCTGTAATCTCAGCTACTCGGGAGGTTGAGACAAGAGAATTGCTAGAACCTGGGAGGCGGAGGTTGCAGTAAGCCAAGATCATGTCATTGCACTCCAGCCTGGGCAACAAGAGTGAAACTCCGTCTCAAAAAAAAAAAAACAAAAAAAAAAACAAAAAAAAGAAGACAGATCAGGTGCAATGGCTCACACCTGTAATCCCAGCACCAGCACTTTGGGAGGCCAAGGTGGGCGGATCACCTGAGGTCAGGTGTTCAAGACCAGCCTGTCCAACATGGTGAAATCCTGTCTCTACTAAAAAATGCAAAAATTAGCCAGGTGTGCTGGTGGGCGCCTGTAATCCCAGCTACTTGGGAGACTGAGGCAAGAGAGTTGTTTGAACCTGGGAGGTGGAGGTTGCAATGAGCTGAGATCATGCCACTGCACTCCAGCTTGGGCAACAGAGCAAGACTCCTTCTCAAAAAGGTTCTGTGACTCTAGGTAGCTTCATCTTCTTGTGAACTTCCATGTTTATGGTTTTCCTTCAAGGCAGCTTAAAAAGGCAGAATTTTTGTTTATCTTCCCATTAGCCAGGTGCTCACCTGCTTTACCCCTCATCTCTTAGGAAATGGAAGTCCACCCTGGCAGTGGTTCTGAACCTTATTAGAGTAATGGGATGCTTGGAGAATTTGCTGAAAGCTATGAACCTTCCTCTCAGGCCTCGGCGTTGGTGGGCTTCTGCTTCCTCAGGAATTCACATTACCTGTATATACCCCTGGGACTAATCAGAAAGCTTTAGGTTCTGTTTGATTGGTCGATTCTATACTTGACAGTTTTCATATAGTCAAGTGGTGGTTTTTGACAATGGGCCTAATCCATGTCAGTCTAAGGGGAAGTTTTTGTTTTTTCCTTTATAGTGGGTCTGATTTTCCTAACTGCGTTTAGCCAACAGCAATTCCTGGGGGTACTGTTGGTTTCACCCTGATTTGTTATGAGTTTAGACCTGTTTTAAGAAGCCTGTGCCTCTTGATTTGTTCTTCAGTGGTTTTTTTTTTTTTTTTTTGAGACAGGGTTTCACTATGTTGGCCAGACTGGGCCCAAACTCCTGACTTCATGAACCACCTGCCTCGGCCTCCCAAAGTGCTGGGATTACAAGCATGAGCCACCATGCCCGGCCTTTAGTGGGTTAATAAACACAAATGATCTGTTTCTCTTTTTGCCTGTGTTTAAGTCTTGGTCTTTTTGTGACTCCCTGCATTTCTTTCTTTTGAGACAAGAGTTTCACTCTTGTTGTCCAGGCTAGAGTGCAATGGCGTGATCTCAGTTCACTGCAACCTCTGCCTCCCGGTTCAAACGATTCTCCTGCCTCAGCCTCCCAAGTCGCTGGGATTACAGGCATGTGCCACCATGCCCAGCTAATTTTGTATTTTCAGTAGAGATGGGGTTTCTCCATGTTTGTCAGGCTGGTCTCAAACTCTTGACTTCAGGTGATCCACCCGCCTCGGCCTCCCAAAGTGCTGGGATTACAGGCATGAGCCACTATGCCTGGCCTGACTCCCTGCGTTTCTAACCTTGCCTTTTTCTTCAACTCTCTGCGCTCCTTTCCCTCTGTAGGATGAATGGGGTGAAGGAAGTCAGACGTGCTTGTGCCGCACTTCTCTGGGCACTTTGGCAGCTGGTGGGGAGCAAGGGAATGGGGTGTGGGGTGGGGATGCGCCCTCAGCTCTGCTTCTACCACAGCAGGCCTGCTTTTATGTGCTTTATATATGACAGCTGAAGTGACATTTATTTTGAGCACAATTCCATGGGGGGATCTCTGGTGTCTGTGTGTGAGTTCTCCCTGAGCAGGAGTCCTGTCTTTTGGGCTGCTGGTAGAGACAGAGAGAAAAGGCACTTGTGTCTAACCCAGCCGGTCTCTGACACGGTGGCAGATTCCCCTTTCCCCCGACCCCTGATTCTCTTCCTTGTTTCAGTTCCAGGGAGGATGATACCTTTGATGATGAGAGTGTTAATCCTGCTGCTGCTTCCCGAGGGTCAGGCTGCTCCAAAGGATGGAGTTACAAGGTAACAGGGTTATGAGGGCAGGGCCTGGGCTGGGAGGAGGGAGAGTCTCTAGAGAATCCGAGGGTGTGTTGGGCCCTCTGGGAGGCGGGAGATGGGCTGTAGGTTCCCTGATCTCTGTATCTCCCGCCACCAGACTGGGGTGTAGGTTCCCTGATCTCTGTGTCTCCCTGCCACCAGCCTCCCACCTTGTGCCTGTCAGAGTGCTACAAAGTGAAAATTCGGTATATGCTTGCTGGACCCCTTTGGAATTCGGGAACTCAGCTCCAGTGCGTTATGAAGCATAGGGAAGAAGCTATGGCTCCAGGGAAGTGGGGGCTTCAGTTTTGTTATCGAGACCTTATGGCGGGCTGGGCACGGTGGCTCATGCCTGTAATCTGAGCTCTTTGGGATGCTGAGGCAGACAGATCACCTGATGTCATGAGTTCGAGACCAGGCTGGCCAACACAGTGAAACCCCATTTCTACAGAAATAAAAAAATTAGCCAGGCATGGTGGCCCATGCCTGTAATCCCAGCTACTTGGGAGGCTGAGGCGAGAGAATCACTTGAACCTGGGAGGTGGAGGTTGCAGTTCGCCAAGATCAAGCCACTGCACTCAGCCTGGGTGATGACAGAGCAAGACTCTGTCTCAAACAACAACAACAACAACAAAACCTTATGGCAGGAACACCAAGGAAGTAGAGATCATTAGCATGTGACTTCTACATTATAGGAAGGCTTTATTTATAAATTTCTGAAGGCTTTATTTATAAATACTATGCAGTGGGTATGCTAGGTAGAAGGGGAAACAGCCACAGGAACAGCCGCACAGGCTGGTAGCAGTGACAAAAATTGCTGCAACTCCTGCCAGCTCTCTGGCATCACAGGTCTGGGTTGACTTGAGCAAACAGTTAACCCAGTCCAGAAGTAGGAGCATATCTGGAGCTTGAAAGACTGACAGAGATCCTGAGCAGCTTGAAACTCCAGAACCAAGAGATATACCCTGTCCTTTAAAAATTATGAGTCAATTTTATGTCATGGAGCAAACTGGGTCTATGTAAATCTGGGCAGTGCCACCGGGCTCAGAGACCAGCCCCTCGGCTCCCAGCATGGAAGGAGAGAGGTGCCATGGCCCATGTCATCCTGCCACTCACTGGGCTGTCTTCTTTTGGATCTCTAACTTGTGTCTACTAGGTGTGGCCTCCTCTGGCCTCTACCTAACCAGATGTTTTGTTTGGGTTTCCATTTAAAGTCTAAGGTAGCCAACGGCAAAAACGGAGTCTGAGGGAGTTAAGGATTTGCTTCCAAGAAGACCAGAAGAGCCTCCTCCCTACAAGGTTTTCAGAATTTTGGGGGCAACTCTCTTTGGCTTTGGGGAGAGAACTCTGCCAGGAGATTGGGGGCAGAAGGTTGATAGGTTGAGCCCTCAGGGAGGCTCTCTGCAAGGCTACTCCTCCCCTCCCTCTTCCAGGCCAGACTCTGAAGTTCAGCATCAGCTCCTGCCCAACCCGTTCCAGCCTGGCCCAGAGCAGCTCAGGTGAGTAGGCTGGGCTGGGGAGTGCCTTCAGGGAGAAGACTAGGCCTGGCTACAGACTCATGTCTCCCGGCTGATTCTCTACTTTTCTGACAGACTTCTGCAGAACTACCTAAGGGGACTAGAAAGGACAGAAGTGAAGCCGGAGCATCTGAGCCGGGAGCAGGGTGAGGGGCTGGACTGATGTGGCCAGGGACGGGAGGCTCTGGGCACCTGGACCTGAGACTGACCTTGGCTGCCCCATTGACTCCTGCCTTCTCCACCTCTCCCGGCACCTCTTCTAATCCAGCTTCTCTTCTCTAGTTCTCCTCTACCTCTTTGCCCTCCATGACTATGACCAGAGTGGACAGCTGGATGGCCTGGAGCTGTTGTCCATGTTGACAGCTGCTCTGGCCCCTGGAGCTGCCAGCTCTCCTACCACCAACCCGGTAAGCTCTGCCGGATGAAGGTCCTCCCATAAAGGAGACCCAGCACTTTGGGGCTTTGGTCTTTCTCATCATAACTCTTTTGGTGAACCCTCTGTAAAAGAAGGCCTCAGAGCTTGCACGTCAAAGATGCAAGGGTGTGTTGGGGAGGGTCAGGACTCCTGGAAATATCTCTGGTCACTGGAGACCCCACAGTGACTCTGCTTCCACAGGTGATCTTGATAGTGGACAAAGTGCTGGAGACCCAGGACCTGAATGGGGATGGGCTCATGACCCCTGCAGAGTTCATCAACTTCCCGGGAGAGGCCCCCAGTCACGTGGAGCCCAGAGAGCCCCTTGCTCCGTCTCCTCAGGAGCCACAAGCTGTTGGGAGGCAGTCCCTGTTAGCTAAAAGCCCATTAAGACAAGAAACACAGGAAGCCCTGGGGCCCAGAGAAGAAGCTGAGGGCCAGGTAGACGCCAAAAGGGAGTCCTTGGAGCCTGTCCAGGAGCCTGGGGGCCAGGCAGAAGCTGACAGAGATGGCCCCGGGCCCATAGGCGAAGCTGGGGGCCAGGCAGAGGCCGAAGATGTCCCCAGGCCCAAAGGGGAAGCTGAGGGACAGGCAGAGGCCAGAGAGAATGGAGAGGAAGCCAAGGAACTTCCAGGGGAAACACTGGAGTCTAAGAACACCCCAAATGAGTCTGAGGTACACATTGTTCAACTGGAGAATGATGAGATCTAGATCATGAAGATACAGGCTTGTACCCCGAGAAGTCTCAGTGCCAGAACATAAGCCCTGAAGCAGGCAGGGGAATGTACGCGGGGACAGGAACCACCTCTGTGCCCCCTGTCTGATCCCAGTAGGTATCAGGTCTTTCTGTGAAGCTCAGGGAAACCCTAAGTTAAGGGGCAGATGACCAATAAAGAACGGAATGAATTCATCCCCCAGGCCACCTCTCTACCAATCCAGCCTGCCCAGAGCCTCTCAGGGGAGCAGGGGGTTGAGGACCAGAAAGGACAGGGATGCCACTTTCCCAGTGTTTCTAGGCCTCCTGGTGCTCCAGCAGCAGAGCCTATGGTGCCAGCCATGGCCAGCTGCAGAGGACCCAGTGAGGAAAGCTCCGTCTATTCCTGGGCCCCAAACACTCTCTGGTTCCCCCTCACCTGGTGTTCAGACACCCCATACTCTCCTGTAGCTCAGGGCAGGTAGTCCCTATCACCCTGTATCTGCCCCCCACCCCCAGTAATATTAATCATCACTAGAACTTTTTGAGAGACTCGTACACATCAGGCATCATGCTGGGCATTTTATATATTATATAATTTTATCTTCACAATAATTCTATGACCAAGCAGAACTGGCTTCATTTGACAGATGAAGAAATTGAGGCAGATTGTGTTAAGCACTGTACCGTAAGGTGACATGCAGCAAATTAAATGGCAGATTTGAATCCAGGTCTCTCTGACTCTAAAGCCCATGCTCTTTACATTATAAGGCCTTATCCCCCTATATTGGAGTTGGCCCCAATTTCAATACATGTTTTAGATCCGACCTCCCTGAGGACAGCAACACTCTGTATCCTGGGTCACATTTGTGGCTGAGGCACCCCCTTAATTCCAAGGTGGTCTCCAAAGGTGAGACTTTCAGGCTCTGGGGCAGTCAGCAGGAGGAGATATTTTTGGACAACAAAGGCTGGTGGGCAGGGCAGAGGAGGCACCCCGCCCACTGACCTGTCAGTTTGGCTCAGCCATGTGGACTCCCAGGCCCCGAGCAGCTCTCACGGCTTCTGGTTGTTCAGCAAATTCGCTGGGTATGGGCTGGCTGAGTGTCCTCCCCAGCCAGGACAGAGCTGGTGGCAAGCCTGGGGCACTTCTTGCTGCTCTGGCCCAGGCAACCCCTCCTCTGGGCCTGGGCAGGGAGGTTAATTGGGGGAATGGACACAAAGAGGGAGGACTGAAGAGTCAGAGCCTCCGGAATGCCCAGCCAGAGCAGTCCAGACATCCAGGACAGAAGCTGCCAGGGGAAGATGGCTCTGAGGAAGATTTATTTGCTCTGAGGCTCTGCAGGGAGAGACGTGTGGGGAACACAGGACACAGGCAGAGTCCTCCCTATGGCCTGCATCTGTCCCGTGAGCAGGGCAACCTGGATGCCAGGCTGAATGGAGGGGAGAAGGCGATGCAGCCGCAATGGCAGGCAGCTTCCGTGGTGTTGGGGAGCCAGCTCCTCCTGCTGCACAGCCCTCACACGATGCCATCAAAGCCCTGCAGGCCACACTTCTTGCCGGCCACCTGGCACCCGAATCTCAGTGCTTCCTGCATGCTCCTCCCTGGAGGAGGGAGAAGTAGCTAGGTCAGCTGGGTGTTTGGAGCAGGGACATGTCCCAGTCCTTGTCCCCTCCTGCTGCTGTACTTACCCTGGGATAGGCTGAAGATGATGGAGGCGTTGAAGGTGTCTCCAGCCCCCAGGGTATCTACCACACGGGGTGGCGGGAAAGCATCCGAGTGGAGCAATTTGCCATCAGGGCCCAGGGCGTCGGCGCCCTCCTCAGCCCAGGCACAGATAAGCACAGCCCTGCAAGACAGCTCCACTTAGCTGGATGTTAGCCCACCCGTCCCCCAAGTCATCCCCTCAGCCCCAGGGCAGACCCCTGGAGTCCAGGCTCACCCTGTACCCCCTAGAGCCCCTTCCTGGCTTCCCCGGCTCACCCTTTCCTCACACGACCATACAAGGCCCTCAGGGCTTCCCCTGCTGACCGGAACCCCAAGTGCTTGGCCACATCTTTGCTGACAAACACCTGTGGGCAGTGGAAGAGAAGCTGGCGGTCACCTCTAACTTGCCACTCACCAACAGCAGCCTGGCGTTGCCCCTTTTACAATACGACTCTCCCAACATGTCCACATAGATCCCCAACATAGCATCTCACTGTCCCACGGGAACATGGTTTTCTTTTTTCTTTATTTTTTGTAAAGACAGGGTCTCCCTGTGTTGTCCAGGCTGGTCTCAAACTCCTGGCCCCAAATTATTTTCCTGCCTCAGCCTCCTACATTTCTGGACTTACAGGTGTGAGCCATTGCACTCAGCCAGAAACACATTTTTTTTTTTTTTTTTTTTGAGACAGTCTTTTTCTGTCATCAGGCTGGAATGCAGTGGCACAATCTCGTCTCACTGCAACCTCCACCTCCCAGGTTCAAGCAATTTTCTTGCCTCAGCCTCTTGAGTAGCTGAGGTACATGCCACCATGCCCAGCTAATTTTTGTATTTTTAGTAGAGACGGGGTTTCACCATGTTGGACAGGCTGGTCTTGAACTCCTGATCTTGTGATCCACCCACCTCGGTCTTCCAAAGTCCTGGGATTACAAGTGTGAGCCACCGTGCCTGGCCAACACATTTTTTTTTGAGACGGAGTTTCACTCTTGTTGTCCAGGCTGGAGTGCAATGGCGCAATCTCAGTTCACTGCAACCTCTGCCTCCCAGGTTAAAGTGATTCTCCTGTCTCTGCCTCTGGAGTAGCTGGGATTACAGGCATGTGCCACCACGCCCAGCTAGTTTGTATTTTTAGTAGAGACAGGGTTTCTCCATGTTGGTCAGGCTGATCTCGAACTTCCGACCTCAGGTGATCCGTCTGCCTCGGCCTCCCAAAGTGCTGGGGTTACAGGCATAAGCCACCGTGCCAGGCCCAGAAATACATTTTTATTGATGCTTATATATAATAGAATACAGCCTTGTAAATTGTTAAAAGCCCTGGTCAGTTTGTTCAAGGATCAAAGGATTGAAAACCCACAGAAAGCCTTGAGCGCCACCTTGGGATGGACTCTACCACTGCCATGCTGGCTCCCTGGAGCGGTTTTGCTGGGTTTTCCCACACACAACTATGTCCTCTAGGTATGGTTTCTACATCTGGAAAACAAAGGGGCTCCTTCAACACTAGCTACACTTTAGAATCTCCAGAGATAGTTTTGGTAAAACACACACACACACACACACACACACACACACACACACACACACACAGAAGCCTTGGCTCTACCCCTGCCAATCAAATAAATACAAGATGGTGGGGCTCAGCCATCTTTTTTCAGAGTCAGGGTCTTGCTCTGTTGGCTGGGATGCAGTGGTGCAATTATGGCTTACTGCAGCCAGTTATGGCTCACTGCAGCCTTGAACTCCTCGGCTCAAGCAATCTTCCTGCCTCAGCCTCCTTAGTAGCTGGGACTATGGGTAGAAACCACCATGCCAGGATTTTTTTTTTTTTTTTTGGACAGAGACAGGGTCTTGCAATCTTGCCCAGGCTGGTCTCAAACTCTTGGGTTCAAGTGATCCTCCTGCACTGGCCTCCCAAGGTGCTGGGATTACAAGTATGAGACACTGTTCCTGGCCTAATTTCTTTATTTTCATAGAGACAAGAGTCTTGCTATGTTGCTCAGGCTGGTCTTGGACCCCTGGCATCAAGAAATCCTGCCTCAGCTTCCCAAAGTGCTTGGATTACAGGTGTGAGTCACTGCACTGGCCTACATTCTTCTTTTTTAATATGCAGCCAAGGTTGAGGACCTTGGCTGGATGGTCTCCAACCAGCTTCTGCTATGATGTTGGGATTATCTTCCAAATTCCATTTATATCCAGCCTTTCAAAAAGTAACTCATGCAAGTCTCCTTCCCACCCTCGCCTCACCCCTAGTGGCCCCCACAACCTGCAAGACAGCCTTGAGTTGGCAGAAACCTCAGAGAACAGTTGTGTGCCCTCACTGTGCAGCGGAAAAGCCTGGGGAGCCCCAGAGAGGAGATGCTTCCCCACAGGCTTGCCCTATGGCTGTCTAGGCCCTACCCAAGCCCTCTGGGTATTCTTACACCTGTGCACCGTCCTGGGGTGGAGACATTCTACTCCTTGGTCACTGCTGAGGCCTGCACTGGAGCCCAAGGCTATGTGTTTACCTTTTTGTTTTAACCCCCAAACCAGGAACCATTATTCCAACTGTGGTAGGCAGGATAAAAGGACTCTGGCCCCCTTTAAGAACCAAATTAGTGGTCAGCCACGGTGGCTTACTGCCAGTATCCCAGTACTTTGGGAGGCCAAGGCGGGCGGATCACGAGGTCAAGAGATCGAGACCATCCTGGCCAATATGGTAAAACCCCGTCTCTACTAAAAATACAAAAATTAGCTGGGCTTGGTGGTGCACACCTGTTGTCCCAGCTACTTGGGAGGATGAGGCAGGAGAATCCCTTGAACCTGGGAAGTAGAGGTTGCAGTGAGCTGAGATCGTGCTACTGCAGTCCAGCCTGGCGACAGAGCAAGATGCTGTCTCTATAACTCGATCAAGACAGTTGCAGGTGGGCAAAAAACATAAAAATAAAAAAGAAGAAGAAGAAGAACCAAATTAGCTGGAAGTGGCAAAGAGAGGCTGCAGGGGGCACCCACAACGTCTCCATAGCCAAATAGCTGGAAGAGCTCCTCTCGCGGCTTCTCCACCTCCACGGACACCCAGATCTTCTGCTCCGGAGGCTGCCTGGCGTTGTGCGTGTCTATCCGCTCCAGCATCTTCACCTGCTCCGATGCATTCCGGCCCTGGGGCAGGACAGGGCAGCTGAGGACTGCTGAGCACTGCCTGGCCAATCTGGCTCATTCTTCCTGCCCTGCTGAAACTCTGAGTGAGGAGGGAGAGGGCCTGGGGGAGGCTGGGCTAGAACCCCAACCTAAATCTCAAAATTCAGAGCTGTCGTGGACCTTGGAGACCTTATCAACCAGCTACACATTCCACAGATGAGAAGACTAAAGAATAACAGAGACTGTGAAAGACCTACCATAGGTTAAATGATGGAGCCAGAACTCAGAACTTCTCAGGATTTCCTCCCACCTAGACTCCAAAACCTCTCTTGGAGTAAAGGTTCTAGTTCCCTTTATTTGGGAGCTGAGTCAGGCCCTGTCCTTCCAGCTTCCCCAGAGGTAATGCGTCAGGCCCTAAGCAGTCAGACTTCTGCCAGAGGCAGAGTTGGAGGCGGTGGGGCAGCCTGTAGCACAGAAAGCACAGGACTTGGCCTGGAGCCAGCTGTGCCTACGTTCTGCTGTGTGACCTTGAATAAGTCACCTAGTCTTTCTGGGCCTTGGTTTCCTCACCTGCAGACATAAGGAAGGATGGAGAGGGAATACGGGGGTTGGATTCATTTATCTCTAAGGTACTTGATGGTTCAAAGAAAGCAAGGAGGAGAACATGTGGAGGATACTGGCAGGTTGAGCCCATTGAAACACAGGTAAGGCAGGGCTTGCCTCAATGTGGATCCACTTGAACCGGGTCAGATCAACCTTCTCAAAGTCCTTAGCAGACACATCTGGCAGGCTCCTAGGTCACAGGATGGAAAGGACAGAGAAGAAAGAGCATGATGGGGTCAGCCAGGGCCAGGGTCTCTAACTGGCAGCTGTGGACCCTGTGCCTGCACTGCCGGCAGAATGGCAGGAAGCTGGATCCACAGCAAAGGATTCTCAGGCTTAGCTCCAGGTGGGCCCTTTTACAGTCTGCTAGGGTGCCCCTTCCTGGGTTTGAGATTGTGATTATCTCAGGGTAAACTGAACAGCAGCACGTGTTAACTGGCCAGGTCTGTGTGTCTTGGAGACTGCATCTCCCAGAATGCACCAAGAGTGCCAAGCCTACACTTCCCAGAATCCCTTGCAGTAGCACACAGCTCCCACAGGCAGAGCCCTGGGAAACTATAAAGCCTGAGACCCTCTGCCTGGGCTGCCTGGTCCCCCTTACTTCTGGCGCCCTAGCGTTGGAGCTTACCTATGGCATCCATGTCCTGAGTTTAGTAGTTTCCTGTTGCAACCCTGAGGTCAAAGTAGTTGGCACTTGAGGAAGAGTTTGTGTTTGGCTGGTTTAGGAACGGAGACCCTGGACAGGAGTCTGCCTCACCTTCTGGGCCAGAGACCTCAACTCAGCCAACATGCCTGCTCCACGTTCTGTGGCCAAATCCTTCCACTTAACTATAGCTGTGTGACCTGCCTGGGCCTCTTGGAGGCTGCTTCCCTGTTGATAAATGGGGCTGAAACCCCCAGCCTCCTTGCAGGCTGCTGCAGTTGCAGGTAATGTGTGTGAATGTACCTGGACTGAGGCCAGTGGGCAATAAATATTTCTCTTCAGAGCTCCTTTCTCTCCTCTCCTGTGAATAGCTACGTTGTGTCTTTGATCAGGGTTGCTACAGATTGTTGCTTAACGAGCATTTGACTAGGATTGCCCAATGCGAAGGTCACCTGTAGCATAGGTGCCTGCCCCCTCACTCACTGCACATACAGAGCCAAGGGGTGGCTGCCCCTCCTCCAGGTCCAGTGGTCAGGCTGGGCAGTAGGGATAGCCTGATCCCCAGGGCAGCTGAGCTTGGGCCCTCTCAGCCATGATAGTACCTGGCATGTACTAGGTTCTCAGTAAAGTAAACCTCTAAAATCCTGCAGGAGGGAGTCTTCGAGGGATGAGACATGTCTAGGCCCATGGGCCTCTCTTGAGCGGCCTGGGACCCTGAAGGGAGGGATGTCCCATTCCCGCAGGTCAGCACCACGTTACACGCCCTGATCCGCTTACCCAGTGTTCCCTCTCCTTCTCCTTCAGCAATGGCTATGAATGGTGTGTGGCATGTCTGGCCTGGCTTCATCATGCTGGAATCTTTGGGGGGCTCATCTCTTTTACACACCCAAACCCCAGCTCCTTAGTGCCATGCTGCAGGCTGGCAACTCTGGGGCTGACTCTGGAAATCCCAGTGGGCCCCCCAGCCCTTCTTGAGAAGGGTTGAATCCCATCTCCCACCCCTCTGCCCTGAGAACAGTTTCCCCACACCCACACCCAAGCTGCTGATTAACTATTTAATAATCATGGAGGAATCACTTCATAAATTACATTTTATATAGGCCTGTCTGCGCTTCTTTGGTGTTGACCAAGGCCAGTCACCAGGCACAGCAAAGCCCTACCCTTCCCACCTCACTTTTACCTTAATTGAAAGCAATTCAGAAATCACTGGACATTTTAACAGGGGAGCAATTTCTGGTACAGAGAAGCCACAGAGGGGGGCAGTTGGGATGCCCACGGTGGCGAGTGAGGGAACTGATTGAGCCAACTGATTGGTGGGTTGTGGCAGGGTGAGGCCAGGGGGCCTTACGTGTCATGGAGCACAATGGTACGGTTGCCATTGGAGTTGTTGATGATGCAGCAGGAGCTGGGTGTGTCCCCCTTGCTCTGCCAGGCCACCTGAGACACATCCACGCCCCGCCGCCTGAAGTCAGCCACTAGGAAGCTTAGGGTGGAGGCCAGGCCAGGGAAAGGTCAAGGAGACACCGATTAGCGCCTGCAAGTGGCCTGGACCTCCCATGGGAGTGGGGAGCGGGTACCGGAGCACACGAGCCTCTAAGAGAAGAGTCCTGTTCTGGGAGTTTTGGTGATGGCGGCAGCAGCTGGCAAGGCACAGACAGTTGTACAAACCTGTCATAGTATAGGATGGTGCGGCTACCACTGGCCTCGTTGATGATGACTGTGGCGATGGGGACGGAGCCTGTGGTCTGAAAGACCATGTAGCGGAGGTCCACAGAATAGCGGCGGAGGTCATCCAGGACAAAACTGCCAGGGCGGAGTAACCCGAAGGGGGTGCAGTTCGACAAGGGTTTGGGGACTAGAGGGTAGCTGGCAGGGCCACTGGGGACCCTTAAAGGCAGGGGTGCAAGCAAAGGAGGCTGGGAGAGAACTGGGAATCACAGTCTTGCCACTGGCAGTGCAGCAGGGCAGGAGAGGCAGGAGTGTAGAGCCTGGAGCTCAGAGAGAGAAACACTAAGGCCATCCTTTCAGGTCTTGGCTGAAGCATGCCCTGATCCTGACTCTGTTTTTCAGTCCAGCTCAAGCTGGAAAGGATTTGCTCCTGTTCAGAAACTTGGACGGGCCCTAGAACCTGTACCCTATTTGAACCAAGCAGGTGGAGGCACCGTGGCTTGTTTCCTGCAATGCCCAAGCAGGATTAATAATTAATCTCCAAGGCAATACTTTGCCCCCAGCTGTCCTCCACATGCTCATCCATGGTGCTGTCCTCTCCGAGTCCCTCCCAGTTCTAATGCTGTGATTTCTCTCACTCTCTGCCTGCCTCCAGGAGGCCCAGCCTAGAAGTGGTGCTGCCTTGGTGAGCCAGCTCACTGCGCTGTCCTCCTGCAGGTGACAGGTGATCCCTCCCAGGCAATTAGCTGGCTCCTGGTACCTGATGCCACTCAGTATGGGCCTTGTCCAGAACTCTCTCCCAGAATGCCCTCCATGCAGAGAGAGCCCAGGGGCGAGGACAAGGAGACCAGCCCCTGCCATCCCATCCCTCTCTGGATGTGCACTGTTCTGTGCTGAAGAACTGGCAATTAGGCTGGGCACAATGGCTCACACCTATAATCCCAGCACTTTGGGAGGCCGAGGCAGGAGGATCACCTAAGGTCAGGAGTTTGAGACCAGTCTGACCAACATGGAGAAAAGCCATCTCTACTAAAAATACGAAATTAGCTGGATATGGTGGCACATGCCTGTAATCCCAGCTACTCGGGAGGCCGAGGCAGGAGAATCCCTTGAACCCAGGAGGCAGAGGTTGCAGTGACAGAGCCACTGCACTCCAGTCTAAACAACAAGAGCTAAACTCCATTTCCAAAAAAATAAAAATAAAAAGAACTGGCAATTATGCCCAGCAGTCCAGCCACCATCCTGGCTTTTCTCGCCTGGCCAGAGCCTGCTTTCAGCAACACCAAAGCTGGATAATACAGATTTGCATAAAGGTACCAAGTCAGGGTATCATTCCTTGACTTACAACTCCTTTCAACAGTAGCTTTCCCAAAGCATTGGAAATATGGTTTGGTGTGCCAAATAACTCTTGCACCTACAGTACCTGGCACATGGTAGGTGCTCTCTAAAGGTTTGTCAAGCACATGGGTAGGATTCTGAATAGCCCTCCCATCGGCATGATTGCTATGTAAAGGAGAGTTGGCCATTCTAAGCGACAGCCACCTCCTGCCTCCAGCTCGGAGGAAAGGAGCTACTGAAGAGGTTTTTTTTTTTTTTTTTTTTGAGATGGAGTTTCACTCATGTTACCCAGGCTGGAGTGCAATGGCGCGATCTCAGCTCATCGCAACCTCCGCCTCCTGGGTTCAGGCAATTCTCCTGCCTCAGCCTCCTGAGTAGCTGGGATTACAGGCACACACCACCATGCCCAGCTAATTTTTTGTATTTTTAGTAGAGACGGGGTTTCACCATGTTGACCAGGATGGTCTCAATCTCTTGACCTCGTGATCCACCCTCCTCGGCCTCCCAAAGTGCTGGGATTACAGGCTTGAGCCACCGCGCCCAGCCTGAAGAGGTTTAACGAGTCACTAGCCCTTGGCTCTGAGCCATCCTGTTCCATCTCACAGGGCAGATTCTCTCCCTCTATTCTCTTCCTGCCAGTTCATCAGGGCAGGGAGTTTGGCTATAGCTCAGGCGGTTAGACTCTGCCAGCAGCCCCCCTCAAACTAGAGTTCAAAGGGCTGCACTTCACAGGCCAGCAACCTGGCAGCCTGCCCCAGTGCTCACAGTGTGCAAAGAGTGGGCCTCACTTCCCGATAAGTGCTTGCTGAGTCGGCAGCACCAGGGGTCAAAGGGCTCTGAGGTCCCAGCAGCAGCCAACATGGAGGGCACGCATGAGCCACTTAGGGCTATAGCCCTGCCAACCAGTGAGCTGGGAGGTGTGGGGTCTGAGCCCAGCTTTAGCACGTGGCTTCAGGGTGTCCTTGAGCAGTGTACTCTCACTGCTTCAGTGAACAACAGGGACATGAGCACCAGCCTGCCCCTCAACTGGGACAGAAGCTGTGGGCCTGGACCGGGAGACCATGGATGCAGGCCATTCCTGAGGGAGGATGAGTACAGCGTGCCCCTAACTGCCTTCTGCCTCAAGCATGGCCAGGATAAGGGACTTAGGAAAGGCAAAGGCAAATCCACCGCAGAGTCTGCAGGAGGCAAGGAAGGAGAAGGGAAGAGGCTGAAGCAGGCTCCAGGAAGTGGCCAGGAAACCAGCTGTGACAAGGAAAGCTTCACAGGGGCAGCATCAGCCCCCAACTGCAGAGAGGCCGCACCAGAACAGCACTGAGGCTGGTGCTCCACCGTCCCCGCTCCCCACGTTTCTGCCGGCCACAACCCATTTCTAACCCCCCACCCGCCCAGGGTGGATACATTCTTCTTTTCCCCCCACGATGCAGGCAGGCCTTCCCCAGTGGGCGCTCCCTCCTGGACTTACTCAGCAACATGGCCAGGGGCCATGGAGCCCATGAAGGCGCAGGGGGCTCCGAGCAAGGAGAGAACGGTGCAGGAGTTGGACGCGTTGCCTCCGCGCTGCCATCTCTGTGACAAGCACCTGCAAAGCACAGGGAGGGTCCCTGCAGTCCCAGCAGGCTGGTCCCAACCACAGTCCCCCGTATAGGGACCTACAGAGTGTGACAGCTGAGGACTTGTCTCAGATGGCATCTAGGCTGCTGTCTCATGTTCTACCTGGGGCAGCCGAGGCTGGCCAAGGGAAGGAGCTTGGCAGAGAGGGTGTCTACCTCCCCAGCTCAGGCTAAATTCGAGCCACAGCATTCCTTTCCATGTTTCCATCTGTTCCTAGGGCACCAGGAAACCTCTCTTGGGTCCATCACAATTTGAGAGCCCTACTCACTCCAGATCATCTCCTCTTCACCTTTTCCCCTGGTCAGAGCTGCTCACGGAGGCTGTACCTTTGGCCTCCTCCTTGAGAGCTGCAGCAACTCCAAGGACCTCGGGAACTAAGTGCCTCTTCCCAAAGGTATCATATTTATACCTACCACTGTCTTAGGAGTGCCTACTTCAATAGAAACTGCAGAACTGGCCGGGTGCAGTGGCTCACACCTGTAATCCCAACACTTTGGGAGGCTGAAGTAGGCGGATCATGAGGTCAAGACATCGAGACCATCCTGGCCAATATGGTGAAACCCTGTCTCTATTAAAAATACAAAAATTAAGGCCGGGCGCGGTGGCTCAAGCCTGTAATCCCAGCACTGTGGGAGGCCGAGGCGGGTGGATCACGAGGTTGAGAGATCGAGACCATCCTGGTCAACATGGTGAAACCCCGTCTCTACTAAAAATACAAAAAATTAGCTGGGCATGGTGGCGTGTGCCTGTAATCCCAGCGACTCAGGAGGCTGGGGCAGGAGAATTGCCTGAACCCGGGAGGCGGAGGTTGCGGTGAGCCGAGATCGCGCCATTGCACTCCAGCCTGGGTAACAAAAGCGAAACTCCATCTCAAAAAAAAAAAAAAAAAAAAACAAAAATAAGACCCGGGCTTGGTAGTGAGCATCTGTAGTCCCAGCTACTCGGGAGCCTGAGGCAGGAGAATAATTTGAACCTGGGAGGCAGAGGTTGCAGTGAGCCGAGTTCATGCCACAACAAGTCAACCTCGCATCAAAAGAAAACAAAAACAAAAAAAAAAAAAAGTGGCAGCAGGGAGCACTTCTCCATCTTTACTAAAAACCAATCAAAAGGAAACTAACAAGACACACCTGAAGAGCTTCATCATCAGCAGCAGCAAAAATGATAACTTTCACACATAGAGTCAAAGCACTGATCACCTCACGGTGTTACTAGAGCACAAATGAGAAATCATTAATCAGTGTCATTACCTTTGAGGTAACCGTGTTATTTCTATTGTACCAGTTCCGATAGTATTAATAATAGTAATTGTGGCAGCTTACAATAAAAGGAGCAGTACCAAAGAACCACTAATTAAGAGAAAAAAACCGAACCAGAATTTTTAGGCTAAAGCATATGTGTACACAAAACTTCAGTTTTGGGAAAAAGGGAGCATGATGTCATTTGAAAAAAACAATCGTAGGCCAGGCACGCTGGCTCATGCCTATAATCCCAGCACATTGAGAGGCCAAAGCAGGAGGATTGCTTGAGCCCAGAAGTTCGAGACCAGCCTGGGCAACAAAGGGAGATCTTGTCTCTATAAAAATTTTTAAAATTAGCTGGGTATGGTAGTGCATAGCTGTGGTTCCAGCTACTCAGGAGGCTGAATTTGGGGTAGCACATGAGCCCGGGAGGTTTAGGCTGTGGTGAGCCCTGATACTGCACTCCAGCCTGGGTGGGAGAGCGAGATCCTGTCTCAACAACAACAATAACGACAAAGGATAGTAATTTATTTATTTATTTATTTTGAGACAGAGTCGCTCTGTCACCCAGGACGCAGTGCAGTGGCATGATCATGGTTTACTGTAGCCTCAGCCTCCTGGGCTCAAGTGATCCCCCAACCTCAGTCTCCTGAGTAGCTGGGTAGATATGCAGCACCATACCCCACTAATTTTTGAAAATTTTTTGTAGAGATGGCATCTCTTTATGTTGCCCAGACTGGTCTTGAACTCCGCTGCTCAAGCAATCCTCTTGCTTGGGCCTCCCAAAGTGCTGGGATTATAGGCATGAGCCACTGCACCCAGCTGGTCAAAGATTTTCAAGCTAGGCTTTACAGAAATTTTTACGAAAAGAAGGAGGAATCTTGAGGGATCTGAATTGATCAATAGTTAAGGACAAAGCTGATGTGGGAATCCAAGTTTCCTGACCCCAGAGCTACTGCTGTTTACTCTGTGTGTGTGTGTGTGTGTGTGTGTGTGTGTGTGTGTGTGTTTTGTGTGTGTGTGTGATTTTTTTTTTTTCTGGGTTAGGGTTAGGGTTAGGGGTTAGGGTTAGGGTTAGGGTTTACTCTGTGTTTTTAAACAAAAAGTAGTTAGGCCCAAGCTTTGATGAGGTTTCTAAGCAAGGGTATATGGCCAGACACGGTGGCTCACGCCTGTAATCCTAGCACTTTGGGAGGCTAAGTAGGCAGATCATGAGGTCAAGAGATCGAGACCATCCTGGCCAACATGGTGAAACCCTGTCTCTACTAAAAATACAAAAAATTAGCTAGGTGTAGTGGCGCACATCTGTAGTCCCAGCTACTCTGAAGGCTGAGGCAGGAGATTTGCTCGAACCTGGGAGGCAGAGGTTGTAGTAAGCTAAGATCAGGCCACTGCACTCCAGCCTGGTGACAGAGTGAGACTCAGTGGGAAGGGAAGAGGGAAGGGAAGGGAAAAGGGAAGGGAAGAGGGGGAGGGAGGGGGGAGGGGAGGGGAGGGAAGGGAAGGGAAGGGAAGGGAAGGGAAAGGAAGGGAAGGCAAGGGAAAGGAAGGGATTTCACTCTTGGGAAACCCTTCAAAGTCTCACTGATATTTCCTGTGCAGAAATGCTCAGCTGAGCAGGAGGATGCTTTCTGGAAGGTTCTCCTTGGCATGGGTTCTGGGAGGCAGAGGTCACATCCCAGGCAGCTCCCAAGAGTCCCCAGCTGCCTGTCAAGCACGGAGACCCTGGGATAGGTGGGGCTGAGACACGCAGGAAGGGCTGGGTCCCACTGGAATGTACTCTTCTAGGAGGCAAACAGTCCAGAAGCCAGGCTGCAGGGAATCAGGGCCACGGGGCTGGAGGAGGGGCATGGCCTGGGGGGCAGGAGCGTGGCAGACACGGGAAGGGGCTCTTTAGAGAGGTGCCTCATTTGGTGCCCACCTTCAGAACCTGCCCCATCAGTGCAGGTGCTGGCAGGACCTCCTTCTCCTACCTTCCTGACATAATTTAGCTGAGAAGAAATGAGACTTCAGCTCTGACAGAACGAGGTGCTGAGTCTTTCCCCAGGCTCTCCATGGTCCTCGGAGAGCCTGTGGCCCTGGAATTTGCACTGTTCCCCTGAGATGAACCCAACTCCTCACTAAGTGCCATGTCCTGAGGCTGCCTCGACCTTGCACAGTGGGTCAGGTCTACACAGTGGCATGCCCGTGCCCCTTCCTCCCATCCCTGCACCGCTGGCAAGGGGCTCTAACCCCTGGCAAACCAAAGCAAAGGGTCAACTCGAAGAGACGGTCAGCAGCAAAGGGACAGGATGTACAGGAGACAACGCAGGGCAAGGGTACTGGACTCCACGCTGGGAGACTCGAGCTGCAGCTCGAGTGCCACCATTTAACTCCATGGCCTTAGAAAACTCCAAATCTTCAGCTTCCTTGCCTATATAAAGGATTTCACTGATCTTTTTACACAGTTCTCATGGGCTGCTAGGAGGAGGATATGAAATAATATATGTGACAGTGCTTTGTGGCCCCAAAGCCTGAGGAGTGCCTGTGTCTCACCTCAGCCTCATGGCCATCAGCGGTGTCACGTGTCTTGCTGGAGTTCAGTCTTGAACTGCCTCTTATCCAGTTCTTAGCTGGGACAACGGATGTAGCCTAAGAGCAATTCTCAGTATTCTAAGCACTCGCTGACGGCACCAAGAGAAAGCTAGTGTCCTGCCCCACAGAAATGCCTTCACAGCATTACAGTGTAACGGTGGAGCCCTTATCAAGAGTAAATACAAGAACCAACAGGCTGGGTGTGGTGGCTCACCCTGTAACCTCAGCACTTCGGGAGGCTGAGGTGGGCAGATGACTTGAGGTCAGGAGCTCAAGACCAGCCTGGCCAACATGTCTCTACAAAAAAAAAAAAAAAGCCCTGTCTCTGCAAAAAAAATGAAAAATTAGCTGGGCATGGTGGCATACACCTGTAATCCCAGCTACTCGGGAGGTTGAGGCAGGAGAATCACTTGAATCCAAGAGGCAGAGGTTGCAGTGAGCCAAGATCGTGCCACTGCAGTCCAACCTGGGTGACAGAGCAATATTCCGTCTCAAAAAGAAAAAGAACCAGCCAGGCATGGTGACTCACAGCTATAATCCCAGCACTTTGGGAGGCTGAAGCAGGTGGATCACAAGGTCAGGAGTTTGAGACCAGCCTGGCCAGCATGGTGAAATCCCCATCTGTACTAAAAATACAAAAATTGGCCATGCGTGGTGGCACACCTGTAATCCCAGCTACTCAGGAGGCTGAGATAGGAGAATCGCTTGACCCCAGAAGGCAGAGGTTGCAGTGAGCCGAGATCGTACCACTGCACTCCAGCCTGGGTGACAAATCAGCTGGGTGCAGTGGCTCACTAGCCCCACACACAGGATCTGCGTCTCTTCCATGAGGCTGCTCCCGGCACTTTGAGAAGCCGAGCCAGGAGGATTGCTTGAGCCCAGGAGCTCAAGACCATCCTGATCAACACAGAGGGACCTCGTCCCTGCACAAAATTCAAAATACAGCTGGGATGGTGGCATGGATGTGTGGACCCAGCTACTCAGGAGGCTGAAGTGGGAGGATCACTTGAGTCTAGGAGGTCAAGGCTGGCTAATTTTGTATTTTTAGTAGAGACAGGGTTTCTGCACGTTGGTCAGGCTGGTCTCGAACTCCCAACCTCAGGTGATCTGCCTGCCTCAGCCTCCCAAAGTGCTGGGATTACAGGCGTGAGCCACCGCACCCCGACTTTTCAGTTTCTGGCAGATAACTGAGAAGGATGTTTTCCACTACTAAAGGCTGTTCATTGACCTTTGTGAAAGGACTTCTGGTAAACTTCTCCTGGAATTTAGCACCAGGAAAAAGTGCGGGGCTCATGAACCAGCTCTATCCATAACCCCTGGTATCTCATGTTTGCCTCCAGTGCCAGCAAGCCCTGAGCTATAGTCAAAGCTCAAATGCCATGGTCTTAAATGTTCTCCAACAGTTTAACTATGCATGCTTTTTACCGTAAGCTACCTCAAATCTTTCTCAGAAATAGGGACAAGATATATGTGGTAAATAATTAGAAGTAAATAATTAGAAGTTGGAGAGGCAAGTGCATAGGTTTGGAGTTTTTAAAGCAGCAGCAAAAGCAGGAATCGGGTCCTGCACCTTAGTAGCTGTGTGCTCCTGGATAAATCCCTTCACCTCCGAATTTATACTTGCTTATCAGTAAAATGGGGATCCTGATGACTGACACCATCCCCGAGTTGAAATGGAAATTGGTCAACACAATGCTATCCAAATCCTGGGTCGTCTTATGAAAAGCCTCAATTCCTTCCTCTCTTCTCTCCTGTGGGGAGCCCCCGGGGATTCCCGGGCAGAGGGCCTAGGTCCGGCCTTGAAGCTGGGCTATCAGGGCCTCACTGCGGGGTTTCTATGGGCACAAACACTGGGCTGCAGCAGCCGCTGTGGTCCCGAGAGGACCTGGGCGCCCCTACCTTATCTCCGAGTCCTCCTTAGGGTACTTGTCCACCAGGCTGATGACGTCCAGCACCACTAGCCCCACGCACAGGATCTGCTTCTCTTCCATGAGGCTGCTCCCAGAGCTTCTTGCCCGCCCGGCTGAAGGGGTTCCTCCCGGCCTCTGTCTCTTATCCAGGAGGATGGTGTCCCCGCTCCCAGGAGCTGCCCTGGCTCCTCCTCCACGTGGGAGTTCCTCCTCCAGGGAGCCACCTGCAGCAGCGCGGGGTGCAGGGAACGAACGGAGCAGGGCCCTTGCTCCGGACGCCCAAAGACCAGAGGTGGCCTGGGAAAGCTACCCCCGAGGTCTTGTTCCCCGGTCTTCCCTTAGCAGTTGCCTGGGCCTGCAGATGGCAACACCTCCCACTTCTCAGCCTCAGTTCCCTTGCTTGTCAGATGGACTCGGAGCCGATGCAAACGTTTCTAAAGCGCAGCTAAGCGATCTCGAGAATGCAAAAGAAAATGGGCTGGAAATGCGCTACTTGCCCTGCCCTCTGCTGCACCTGCGTCTCCGACTCCCCACCCTGGACCCGCGGGGTAGAGCTGGGCCTTGTATCTGAAGCTCGCTATCGCGGCCGCCCCGCCCGCCCTGGTTAGTCCCAGCCGAGGCCACGCCTCAGCCGCGGAGCAGCCAGACTCGCAGGGTGGGCGGCGGCCTCCTGTGACGGGAACGCCGAGCGCCCCCTGGCGGACCCCGGCGTAACGGGCGTGACTCGAGGGAGGTGTCACTGGAGCGGGGCGAGCGCCGCTCGCTGCCTGAGCTGCTCCGAGCCGGGCGGAGGCGGTGAGCGCAGTGCGGAAGCCGGAGCCCCCTCTGGAGGCTGCCTTCTCTCCCGCCCCGTGCCCTGTGCAAGCCTGGCAGTCCCCAATCCCGTACCGGAGCAGAACGGCTCATTTAGATTTTTTTAGAAAAACCAAGTGTCTTTATTCCCGGATCGTTCAGTACGGCGGTGGGCGGCGCCCGCGCGGGGGAGCCTGGCGCCCAGGGACTCGGCCTGGAGGGCCGGTGGAGGGAGCGGAGGGTGCGAGGATCGGCTCCTCCGCAGGCCGGCCCTGGAAGGGTTCAGCGGGGATCGCGCCTAGCCAAAAATCTGCACTGGCGGCCCGGGCCTCCCTGAGCAGGCGCGCCCCCGGGTCTGGGCGCGGTGCGGCTGCGGGCCCGGGTGCGACGCTCGCCCAGGGCTGGGTGCCCTGTCCCAGGCGGGACCCCGGGAGCCGGCTGCCCCTGCTGTCTCTTTGGCCGACGTAGACACGTCGGGCCGGGCCCCCAGTCTACGCGTGTTCAAGCTCCGCGTCCTCATAGAGCAGGGCCCCGCTGAAGACGGTGAGCGGCTCCTGCGAGTGCGCCAGCGGCCCCATGACCAGGTCGATGCAGACCGTGTCCCCGGCCTGCAACGGCAGGATGAGGCTGAGGACGCCCAGGGTGCCAGGGCTGGGCTGGCTCTCGGCCACCGGCTTATTCTCCAGGCCCTCGGGCTCATAGCCGCCGGAGTCTATGCGGGCCACGCCCTGGTTGGAGCGGGACAGCACGGCCTCCACCTTCTCGTTCCGGTGTCCAGTCAGCACCGTGCTCAGCAAGTAGCGTCCGGCCAGTGGCGCTGTGAACTTGCCTGGGGACAGGGAGTCAGTCAGGGGAGCCAGGGAGGCCCGGGGAGCAGAGCTCCTGTACTGGGGAGGGACCCGCTCGCTGGAATGTAGGCGGCAGGGAATTGGGGGCTTTGTTCACTGTGCATCCCCAGCACTTCAAACAGTGCCTGGCAGAGCAGGCCCCAGTAGAGATCTGCTGAATGAATGAATCACTACTCCTCCTCCCCACTGGATGAGAATGAATACATGAAGAAAGAGCCAGGGTCTCCCCAAATCAGAGAATGAAAAGATTCACACTGTCAGAAGAGGCAAGAATGGGAAGATACCACTGCACACCTGACCCACTTCCCCAACTGTTCAACCCAGCCCCTCCCAGGCCTACCTGTCTTTGGATCATAACCGCCTCCATCATTGAGCAGGACTCTGTCAAAGGGGACTGTGCCTGGTTCAGACCAGGGCAAACTCAGGGCAGCTGAAAATGCCACACGAGGCACAGGGGCTGCTGGTGCCCCCTCCATTCCTGGTGGGAAGGCCGAGTGTTAGAGTGGATGCTCAGGGCAAAACACCAGCCTCCTCCCCCTGCTGGATCCCCAGCCCAGGGCTGCCTGAGGACCTCCACCCTCCAACCCCTGGTCACTTCTCCCTCCAGAATCGAATGAAAGGCACTCACCCTGTTCACCTTGAGGACCTGTGAGAAGAGGAAAGGGAGCAGTGAGAAGCAGGGCAGCTCTCACCAAGTCCCTCAGCAAGCATCTGCTTAGGCTCTCCTGTTGTGCTGGGTGCTACCGGGACTTCAAAGCAGGAATTAGGATATCAAGAAAAAGAGGAATAGGTAGGGTCCATTCTGTTCAATTGCTGGGCCATCCCAGCCTTTTACACCCAGACAGCCATAATAGGCTCATCTTTCATCTCCAGTACTGCAGTGGGGCCAGCATTATCCATTAGCCCCCTAATACCCATTAACCAAACACAGTGACTATCACAGTTCCTCCTCACTTTCCTCTGTCTTTCCTTTGTCAGGTAGGACCCAATTCCCCTGGTCAAGTTTAGAGTGGAATGTCAAGCCTGGGATTGCCAGCAGGGGTCCAGGTTAGGGGCTTGGGGGGCGGTGGCAACCCTGACTGCAGTAAGGGTCTCAGTGTACATACCTGGTGGCCCAATGGGCCCCTCTTGCCCGTCCTTGCCTGGAGATCCTGGTGGTCCAGCAGGGCCTGGGGGTCCCTGTAACCCAGGAGGCCCTGGGGGCCCAGCCTCTCCTGCAGGCCCTACAGTGACAAAACTGAGTTGAGGGAAAGCCAGAACAGGAGCTTCCAATGGGTAAGGAAGGTGGGTGGTGGCTTCATGGACAGGGAGAAGATGGATGGAACAGGTGGAGCTTTGCAGGCCGAGGGGGCAATGGGGTCCCTGGCTGCACGTGCTGGACCCCTGGCTGGCAGAGCAGCATCCTCTCCACCCACAGGCCTAGTGAGCAGCCAGAGGGCGGGCGAGGAGCTAGGCCCTTGCATCATCTCTTGCAGGCATACTATAACACCTGGAATAGTGGTTGGAGCTGCGATTCGTGCTGGGAAAAGCAAGGAGAAAGCAGAGTTGGAGGCTGTGCTGGGAGAGGGTGAAGAAAGGCCTGAAAGGGGTGCCCTCATGCCTTTTGCTCACTCACCAGTGAAGTCCTTCATGCTGAGCTGGTGCAGACGGTGCTTCAGGTGCTCCAGGGAGCTGTTAAGGGCACTGAGCCGCCTGCCCAGGCCTGCCTGCCCCGCTAGCAGCTTCTCCAGCAGGGCTGCCTGTGTCCAGCTGGTGGTGTTGGTTTCCCGTAGCCCGGCCCAGAGCCCAGCTATGTGTTTGGAAAGGCCCTCACGCAGGCCCTGCAGTCCCCCAGTCACGGTGTCCAACCGTTCACAGACTCCCTCGAGACGGCCCAGTCGCCCCTCTAGGCTGGGGCACTGGCTGGCCTGTGCCTGTCCCTCCTCCAGGCCTCGGAAGCGCTCCTCACTCTCCGTAGCATGCTCTGTGGCCTCCTGCTGCAGCCTGTTAATCTCAGAAATGATGCGGTCTTTGGTGGCCCCCAGGTCAGCCAGATCAGCGCCCTGGCCCTCCACAGTGGTCTGGAGCTCATTCAGTGAGTCATTGAGGGAGCTGAAGGTGAGAATCACCTCAGAAAGCTCTCCTTGCAGGGCCTGCAGGGCTGAGCCTGAGCTGCCCCCAAACACGCTGAAGCCATCCAGGGGCCCACGGCTTGGTCCCCCAACACCTGGACCAGCCCCAGGGCCCCGAGGAGGCAGCAGGGGGCAGGAGCAGCGCTCCACACCATCCCTAAGGCGGCCTAGTTCCTCTTGGACTCCCCCGCAGGCCCCACAGCCCTCATCCCCATGGGCCTGCAGCAGCCCCTCCAGTTGGCCGAGCCGGGCCACAGTGAGATTCAGCCGCAGTGTGAACTCCGCAGCTGTCTCATCCTGTGCATCCACACGATCCTGGAGCCGGCCCACAACCCCCTGCAGTCCCTCCAGCATGGCCTGCCGGGTCTCCCCTGCTGCTTCCACCTTGTGCAGGCCTGAGCCCACCAGCCGCAGCTGCCCCTCACTGTCCAGCACCCTTCGCTCCAAGGCACTGAGAATCTCGCTGACTTGAGAGTCCTGCTCCCCAGGGGCCCCAGAGCAGAGCTGCCCACATGCCTGCACAGCCCCTGCCACCTGCTCCTCCAATAGATCCAGCCGCCCCCCCAGCTCCCCACTCACATTGGCCAGCAGCCCCCCCAGCTGCTCTAGTCGGCCCCGGGCAGCAGGCAGCCAGTGGCCCAGTCCCCCAGGAGCCTCAGGCCAGCTCTCCTCCTGCTCCTCCGAGGGGCCCAGAGTGGAGTTGAAGCGGTCCTCCAGGCGAGACAGGCGGGAGGCCAAGCTGGTGTAGCCTGGGGGATGGCCCCCCTGCCCGGCTGCTCCTCCCAGCTCGGTGCCTCGCCGCCCACTCAGAACTGTCACTGAGCCGGCTACCACATCCAGCCTGCGCTCCAGCTCTGCCAGTCGCTGGCCCAGCTCTGGAGGGCAGCATTCCTGAGGGGGCCTGCGGCCCATGGCCAGGCCGGCGAGCTGCCGTTGCCGCTCCTCCATGGAGGCCAGCAGCTTCTCCAGTGCCCGCAGCCGCTCCCGGTCCTCCTGCTGCTGCTGGCGGAAGCCATCTACACCCGTCAGGCACACGGAGCAGGACTCCTGCAACCGCTGCTCCAGCTGCTGCAGCAGCTCCTCACTGGGACCCGGAGGGGCCGAGGCCAGGGCTGGTGCCCTGTTGCCCACACTGCCGCTGCCACTGCTATGATGGTTGTTGAGGTGACCCAGCTCCTGGTCGTGGGTGGAGACGCGGGTGTCCAGGAGCTGCAGTTGGTGCTGGATCTCATTGAGGGTTTCATGCACGCCAGGGCGGGCAGCCGCATCGGCTGGCTGCTGCCTCCCGTTGAAGGCGGTCTCCACAGCCCTCTGCACATCCTCTGCCAGGCGCCCACTCAGTCCCTGCAGGATACCCTGCAGGCTTTGCAGCTCCTTGGACAGGCTCTGCACCTGCTCCTCCAGCTGCTGCATCTTCTCTGACTCCCCAGGACCTGAGGAGAGGGGAAGGCAGAAGGCAGAGGGGCTGGACCCCAGAGCTCAGGGCCCCTGCTCACCCTAGCTCCAGTAAGGCTCAGAGGCCCAGGCTGGCTCTGCCTCTCCTTTGGGTGATATTGGCAAGAGGAAAAGAAAGGAAACTCCATTCACTGAATGCTTCTAGGCCAAATTTGAACCATGGCTCTGTTCTTCACCAACTGCCCTGGGGGAGGATCTTTCCCATCTTAGAGACTAGGAAACAGGACCAGAGACATTAGGTTCCTGGCCATGGAGCTCAGGTTTCCTAAGTGGCCGTGCTAAGTTTCCAACTCAGACCATATATCTGGCCCCCAGGACCATGTCCTTTCCATCTGCCCACAGTAACTCTTTTTTTTTTTTTTTTTTTTTAAGATGGGGTTTCACCATGTT